TTTACAGTTAAAAACGATAATCAACGTATTTTTTAATCTATAACATGATAATCAAACAAACCTAGAAGAATTCAACTGCACGAGATCGCTATTTATTTAAATTTATGTTTATGTTTATATCGGGTTGTGTGACCGTCGACAGTCTTTGGAGGTTATATCGATAGTTAATTAGATGGCGTCTAACCAAATACACCCAAATTCTGAGTTGTTATTTATTGAATATACGTTTTAGTATGTTATTAATCAAAATCTGAGAATTGGAGTGAAATCTGTGAACATGAATTTGACAGCTAATGCCTCGTAACATCTTTCTACCTTGATTGTTTGAAAATGTATGTTTAAGCAGCTTAACTTCATATTATCTATGAATGCTTTGCTATGTTTTGAACCTTTAAAATTTGCAATGGAAACATTTTATCCTTTTTAACAATCACAATTGCCTTCATCAAGTATGATTTAAAGTGTAGCAACTAACATAGCCCGAGTAACCAAGACATTAAATTTGTAAATTAAAAGACTACGGTTATATTCAGGCAAATAAAACGAATTCAATCTTTCTCGTGTAAGTAACGTCTCATGATCAGGAATAAATATGTCCTTGTAAGTTGTTGATGATTTATCACTACAATAAAGTTTTAGAAAGACCTTGGTATTATTCAGTAACATGATAACATCTGTAAGTACTTTAAATGCGTCATTGGTAAATTTGAAATACCCGGTTTTGTTGATATTAGCTGACAATATAATAAGGGTTGTATTATATTTGCTTTTAATAAAAACCACGTTGTCCTCGGTTTGTCGAGAATTCAGTCCGTTTATTTATATCTTTAATTTGTGTATATATAAAACATTGTCCGTTGGTGGAGCAAAACAAAAGATTGGAAAATATGATTGACTTTGGAACACGGAAATAATAGGGAAATAATAACTATTTGCAAAACGGAACGCCCAATCCATTAATCGGAATTTTAGATACATTTGAAAATGGCTATAAAACAAGGTTTAATCCACAATTTTCTGCACAAAAAGTCTGTACCAAATCCAAATTATGACAGCTTTTTTTTATCTCTTTCTGTGTTTTGATAATGTTATATTTTGTCAGGTTTTTTCGACTACCCTGTTTTTAATTTACATTGGAGTTCAGTATCTATACGTAATTTACTTTTTACAATATGACTGTATGGAATTTATATCATCTAGACCTGATATCGATATTATATTGACTCAATAATTCGATGAACCATTTCTTATTTCTATCATGTCTATAATTCAAATTGTATTTGTATTAAAATAAAATAAAAAGTCAACGAAATTCAACATTGCATCTGTACATATTACACAGGAGTTTAGAACATATAAGTACCTACTCTTCAAAGTTTCTTGTCCTCACGTTTCTATTTCTTACAAATAGACTTTTTTTAAGTTGAGGTAAGCACTTGAAATGTAGTTTACATTGTTCATGTTTTAGGACCAATTGTTACTGTATCAAGACGGCGGGTTGACATTATTATGGATAATTGAAAATGACCATTGGTTATCTTATCATAAGGTTTGAAAAGATGTATTGCAATCTGAAATTATCATCAAGACGTGTAAAATCCAAGGCATTAGACATTTTGTATTATTAACGAATGCCCTGTTTACGTTAATGGTCATATTGAGACGTTGGCGCTAAGTTGCTTTTGAAATAGAAGGATGTGTAGAAGTTTCAGATCAAACGTTTGTCATACTTGTTGTTTTTTTTTTTTGTGTCTTTCATGCCATTAATATTAGGGATATTCGTCTTGTTGAATACACAAGAGTTTAATTACTAGTAAATGAGATTTAAATCTGAAGCCATACAAACTTTTCAAGATGTATTATCTGAACTCAAAGCAGGACTTTGAATACTAAAGATGGTGAACAATTGTACTTATGCTTATTTCTCTAACAGAATCAATATTGAAAAGATGTTTTCCCATATTATTGAAATGTTCACCTCTGTACGTACATTCTATTTAAGATATTTTTGATACATAAATTTCCCTCCATTAAAATTCAGATTAGTTTATACATTTTTCTTAATTAATTTTTTGTAAAATGTTTTGTTTTAAGTCCCGTGGTTGGAGATAGTCATAACCACTTAAAAACAAAAGGTTCAAACTATTTACTCGATCTATAAATGTGCGTTTTAGCAGATTAAATGCGGTCTTAAAAACGACACTGCGCATAATTGAATTAGAGGAGACTGGCAATTCATGTTTCTCATTGATTTTGCCATGTCGTCCTTTATTTCAAATTTATTCAATAATCTACCCAAGACAACTTTTGTGCATATATCCCATGATTTTTCATCTTTACTTCACTATCATTAACACGCGAATGCTTCATGAAAATAACTGAATAATATAAAAAAAACAAAAGAAAGGCAAAAGATACTAAAAGGACATTAACGCTCATAAGTCAAAAATAAACTTACTAAGCCAAACAAAAAAGGCCAAAAGACAAACATGCAGTATACAAAACACAACATAGAAAGCTAAAGACTGGGGAACACGAACCCCACCAAAAACCGAATGTAATCTCAGGTGCTCCAGAAGAGAAATAATATCTTGCTTCACATGTGGCAACCGTCGAGTTGCTCATGCAAGTACAAATCCGGTGATCAGTCTAATGCTTCAAGAAAATATTGAATAATATAAACAAAGTAAAAGCAAAATTCTAATAACAAATAGCTGAGCAATTTGTGCCATTTACTATTATAGTCTACAGTACGTCCAAAGAACAGGCTAAACTATTTTGCTTAACAACGAAGACGTTTAGCTACAGATGTGGACATTATAGTCCTTCACGAAAACCATTTTGATCGTGTCTTTATACTGTTGTTGCGTTACAATTTTCTTATAATCTAGTCGACGTTTGGTGGACGAATAAGAGACAGACTATATACAGATTTATCTAAGCACATTGAATAACGTTTGCAGCCGAGAATTCTTAATAATAAGAATATTATATTATAAGGACTGGTTACTTGCAGGATTTATAACATACCTATATTCAAGTTGACCTTAAATTGATTAGGCTATTATTTGTATGTCCATTTTTGTCGTTTAGCTCTTCAAATATTTCGGCTTTTATACATAACTTGCTTTCAAACATTTGGTTTTGAAGGTTCCAGATGAAGGTGATTTCAGAACATAGCTTCGGACGCATACAATTATGAAGAGTTATTTTCATGATTTTACAAATCGATATACAGAGGCCTAGATAAGTTTTATATAACATATGCTTCTGAATATCTTGAATGAAAAATGTTTGCATCAAATAAATGCTTTGAAAGTTTAAGTTCTTATAAAATTTAATGTTATATCAAATTCATGTTGATATCATTCCTATCATGCAAAGTCATCATCATTCTAGACTTTCTCATATTAAATGGTTTAAAGACGCAATGAAAAAAATCAAATGATACTGTTATTAAGATATTCTTGGTAGTAGTAATCTGATGATATGCCTAATTGAATATCATTCTAATCTTTTCTCTATTTTTGTAAAGTTATTTTCATTTTTTTAAAGCAAATGATCTCCTGAAGTGCATTATACAATTCACAAACACGCGCAATTTGAGAAATTCAATATCAGGTATCCTATTTTAAACCGTACCGTATTACATACCCCTTTGATCTGTTTCAGTCGGTCAAGGAGTATTGGTGCATTTTAAAGGACATTTAATAATATCTCCGAATGATAACACTCACAAGATAATTATATTTTTGTAAATGTTAATATGTACGATAAACATATATATCTGTTCACTCTATTAAAATTCACAAGTTAACCTTGAACAGTGCACATTAATATATCGTATCATATCGCTTTGAGCGTTCCTGCTGAAGGTAAATCCAGAAGAGCGCTTTGGACGCATAAAATTTATTACGTGTTGTTTTCATTTTTTTACTGCACTCAGTCGATACCTCCGCTGGTGGACTATCAGTATCTGGGGATATTATCAGCCCAGTAGTCAGTCATTCGGTACTAACATTATTTTTAAAAAACCTTTGCAAAATTATCCTTTATAAAATTTGAAATCACAAGGATACTAAGGTTTTAACTACCTCAGGCAAAGTTGATCTTAGATGTGTTTAGTTATTTCATTAGGTTCTTATTCGGTTATATAGCTCTTCGACTGCATCATGAAAATAGAGCTTCTGGTGGTTTATCTAGGGTTGTAACACGGTACGTGCTGTATAGATGATGTACATCATGTACTGTGTTACAACCCTAGATAAAGCCGACGATGAAGGGCATTACATCGACCACCGAAAGCTATATCTTTATGTAGCCCGGATGGTTGAATGGTCTAGCGCGCTGGACACAAGCGGTGTTGCCACGATGTCATAGATTCAAGGGTTCGAATCCCGCTTGTGCAAATTTGAAGATCTAACATTATGTATAATAAAATCAAAATTGGATGTGGCGGCATAGTAATTAAACATTATCATCCTCTATGACAGACAAAATAGCTGGTCTGAAAGGTAGATCGTCTACTTGCCACTATACATCATGTACTGTGTAACAACTCTAGATAAAGCCGACGAGGAAAGGCATTACATCGACCACCGAAAGACTACTTTTGTGTATTTTTTGTTTGGGTTGGGCTTTGAATTGGCTTTTGGTGGCTGTGAGTGCTCTTGGGCCCGTGATTTGAATATTTTGTTGCTTGTTTTTGTGTTTTGTACCGATTTGGTGTTACAAACCCTTTCCAACTGGTATTTACACTTTTTAATTGTGTTGTGTTGTTTCACCAATGCGCAGACTTTCACATTGTTCTATGTGCTTGTCCGTGTCATAAACTTGTGATCCATTTTTTTTTGTTGGTGCTGTCTGAAATTTTAGTTTCTTAGTTTATTGCTGTAAAGCAAATCGTGCTGCTTCTTTTTGATTTCAAATGAATACCTGTATTGGGAATAATACCATATTCCCGTTTATTAATTTCACAATAAATTGTTTATAAATTGCAGAACGACTCCATTTCTATCTGAATCATAACTAAAGGTGAACGTGCCAAGATAATATTGAAGTGATATATATTGGAAGTGAGTACGCCAAATTTAGAAGTGGAGTACCCGTTAATCGTATCGAGACCGGAAGATATGAGAATTTACGAGTATCAGAAAGGACTTGTTGTGGCTTTCCGAATTCCACTACGAACAAAGAACATGTACTTATATTCGTCATTAGAGACAGTTGTTTTAATAACTCAATTGTTGATGGGTTTGATAAGTTTTCTATCCAAGATATTAACCTTTCTTTGATTCTGTAATTAGTAAGCAACAAACGTTTGTGTGCCATTTGTCTGTCTCTTCTCCTCTTATGGTTGACACTATGTTTAGTAATTTGTTTCTTAGGTGTAAATAATCGTCTCTCGTCATTCTATAATAATGGCTTTTAAATATTTGTACTGTGTTTTAATCAAATTCTTTTGTGATTGTTTGTTAAATGTGAGACGTAAATAAAATATTGTATTGTATTGACACGCACATAGGTGACCGAAGAATTTTGAAATATTTCTGATTTCCTATCCCTATATTTAGATGAGAAGATATTCGTTCGGAATGTAGACATGCAACAGTTTTCTTGCTTTGAAATAGAATGAACGTCATTTTGATTGAATTTAGAATTATTGATACATACATGTATGGTACCAATATAATGGTATTTTATGCGACTGTTATACAAGTGATAGGTCTAGCTAGCTATAAAACCAGATTTAATCCACTATTTTCAACATAAAGAAATTCCTGTACCAAGTCAGGAATATGACAGTTGATTTCTATTCGTTTAATGTGTTTGAGCTTTTGATTTTGCCATTTGATAAGGGATTTTTTTTTATTTTTCTTTATACTTTTAATATGCTTCTAAATGTCGATTGAATAAAAGATATATACAACAAATAATTACTATGAAAGTTTAAGTAATTTTTCAAATATTCAGTATTTTTGTTATTTCACTTTTTTGTTAAACACATTTATAGGATCATACGCATTTGACTTTGAAATCAAGCGTGTGTACTCTGTTGAAAATATTAATCAATCCATATTTTGTATACCTAATTCTAACAAATACATTTTCATGATTGAGGTTTTTTTCATTAACATTGTTACAATGAATTAAATATAATATCCATATAGAGAATCATTTTTCATACGGGTAATCAATATTTTAGTACTTTAATATGTGTATGGGGCCACATGCCATCAATCCGTTGGTATAACATTGACAAAGCAAACTATTTGGTTGATTTTGTAATGACAGTGTATTTGAGCAATACATATGTTTCAGAAATTATCGATCTGCAAAGGCATTTAAATGTAAAGATAGGTAAATCTACCCAATGATAAATTTATATTTAACTCAGGTAGGTATAGTGTCCAACTGGGATCGTGGTTTTTCGAGTGATTTGATTGGTTTTTTTTATATTATTATATCAAAAGAATTGTATTGAACCTTAGGTTATTTATTTCGTTGTTTACTGAATACATTGGACAACTCCCCGAGTTTATCATCAGCTTAGTAGTCAGTACTTCGGTATTGACATGATTTACAACAAACCTTTTGAAAAATATTCACCTCCCATGGGGACAGGTGAATAGAAATATTTTGATTTAAGTCCTCTTCTTGACAAAGTGGAACGTCCCTGTACTGGGTTCTCAAGACCGTTTTAAAACGCACTGAATATCGCCATGCTGCTAGGTTATGGTAAAATCAGATCATAAAGTTATCATTAAATTGAAAAAGGTTAAATTTTATCATGAGATAAAAAAAAATGGGTTTTTTGCTTTAGTGAATTAGTGGGAATATATAATATTGTCCCTCACTTAATTACAGTTATAAACTAGAAAAAGTTAGTTTTTAAGGTCAAGAATGCCTTATTTCTCAGTTACATTTTTTTTGAAAAACCCAGACCATTTGTTAAAAAACCCGGACGTTTTAACTGTTCCTCTCGAAAAAACACAGACAATTAAAAACACTGAATTAAAGGTTAAATACAACGAAATTGTGCGTCTTTTGTGTTCAAACACATGTATAGTATTCAAAATAAGATGGACAGTCATGAATAAAACTATTATAATTGCGAAATAGCATTTAATTGACCTGATCGCATGTTTTATAACTCGAAAAAAGTGGACCATTTCAGACGAAAAAAAAAACACGATCTCTGCCGGTCACTATACCTACCGTGATATGTATAGATACAAAAATAAGAAAATGTGGCATGATTGCCAATGAGATAATTCTTCACCAGAGACCAAATAAAATAGAAATTAACAGCTATAGATCACCGTATATCTCAATCTTTCTAATATTATGCAGACATTTAGTTAATAGGTAGATACAAACGTGACTAAAAGGGATTTGGGTAAACTTTCTGTCTTCCATATTTACGGAGGTCCCAAAGTGCCAGTTTGATATTCAAAATATAAAGTGAAAGCCTACCTGTGACCGCTTAAATGAGGGTGAGACCCCCCTGATTTTTTCAATGCCCATAAAATTCAACTAAATCATAGACTCTGTATATATATAAAGGTTGTATCAGAAGGATTTCTAAGAATAATGTCATCTTCGATATCTACGGAGGGCTTAGATTGTCACTTTTCAGCTACGAATTGTCAAAATTTCAGGACAAACGGCACAGGGCCATGGTGAGAGCCCCCTGATCTGTCAATCTTTCTAATATTATTCAGACAGTTAGTTAATAAGTAGATACAAACGTGAATTCAAGGGATTGGGTACACTTTCTGTCTTTTATATTTACGGAGGGCCCAAAGTGCCAGTTTGATATTCAAAATATATAGTGAAAGGCTACCTTAGACCGCTTAAATGAGGGTGAGACCCCCTGGTCTTTCAATGTCCAAAAAATTCAACTAAATCATAGACTCTGTATATGTCAAGATTTTATTAGAAGGATTTCCTAGAATAATGTCATCTTCGTTACTACGGAGGGCTTTGATTGTCACTTTTCAGCTAAAATTTGTCAAAATTTCAGGACAAAGGGCACAGGGCAATAGTGAGAGCCCCATGATCTCTCAATCTTTTTAATATTATGCAGACATTTAGTTAATAGGTAGATTCAAACGTGACTAAAAGGGATTTGGGTAAACTTCCTGTCTTTCATATTTACGGAGGGCCCAAAGTGCCAGTTTGATATTCAAAATATATAGTGAAAGACTACCTTAGACCGCTTAAATGAGGGTGAGACCCCCTGGTCTTTCAATGTCCAAAAAATTCAACTAAATCATAGACTCTGTATATGTCAAGATTTTATTAGAAGGATTTCCCAGAATAATGTCATCTTCGATATCTACGGAGGGCTTTGATTGTCACTTTTCAGCTAAAATTTGTCAAAATTTCAGGACAAAGGGCACAGGGCAATAGTGAGAGCTCCATGATCTCTCAATCTTTTTAATATTATGCAGACATTTAGTTAATAGGTAGATACAAACGTGACTAAAAGGGATTTGGGTAAACTTCCTGTCTTTCATATTTACGGAGGGCCCAAAGTGCCAGTTTGATATTCAAAATATATAGTGAAAGCCTACCTGACACCGCTTAAATAAGAGTGAGACCCCCTGGTCATTCAATGTCCAAAACATTCCACTCAATCATTAACTCTATATATGTCAAGGTTGTATTAGAAGGATTTCCCAGAATATTGTCATCTTCGATATCTACGGAGGGCTTAGATTGTCACTTTTCAGCTACAAATTGTCAAAATTTAAGGACAAAGGGCACAGGTCATTGGTGAGAGCCCCCTGATCTCACAATTTTTCTAATATTATGCAAACATTTAGTTAATAAGTAGATACAAACGTGACTAAAAGGGATTTGGGTAAACTTCCTGTCTTCTATATTTACGGAGGGCCAAATGTGCCAGTTTGATATTCCAAATATATAGTGAAAGGCTACCTGAGACCGCTTAAATGAGGGTGGGACCCCCTGGTCTTTCAATGTCCTTACAATTCAACTACATCATAGACTCTGTATATATAAAGGTTGTATCAGAAGGATTTTACAGAATAATGTCATCTTCGATATCTACGGAGGGCTTAGATTGTCACTTTTCAGCTAAAAAATTGTCTAAATTTCAGTACAAAGGGCGCAGGGCAATGGTGAGAGCCCCCTGATCTCTCAATATTTCTAATATTATGCAGACATTTAGTTAATAGATAGATACAAACGTGACTAAAAGGGATTTGGGTAGACTTCCTGTCTTTTATATTTACGGAGGGCCCAAAGTGCCAGTTTGATATTCAAAATATATAGTGAAAACCTTCCTGAGACCGTTTAAATGAGGGTGAGACCCCCTGGTCTTTCAATGTCCATAAATTTCAACTAAATCACAGACTCTTTACATATAAAGGTTGTATCAGAAGGATTTCCCAGAATAATGTCATCTTCGATATCTACGGAGGGCTTAGATTGTCACTTTTCAGCTAAAAATTGTCAAAATGTCAGGACAAAGTGCACAGGGCAATGGTGAGAGCCCAATGATCTCTCAATCTTTCTAATATTATGCAGACATTTAGGAAATAGGCAGATACAAAAGTGACTAAAAGGAATATGGTAAAACTTCCTGTCTTCTATATTAACAGAGGACCAAAAGTGCCAGTTTGATATTCAAAATATATAGTGAAAACCTACCTGAGACCGCTTAAATGAGAGTGAGACCCCCCTGGTTTTTCAATGTCAATAAAATTCAACTAAATCATAGAATTTGTATATATAACGGTTGTTTTCATTATATATTTTGATTATCAAACTGGCACTTTGGGCTCTCCGTAAATATAGAAGACAGGAATTTTTCCCAAAATCCTTTTAGTCACGTTTGTATCTACCTATTAACTAAATGTCTGCGTAATATTAGAAAGATTGAGAGATCAGGGGGCTCTTACCATTGCCCTGTGTCCTTTGTCCTGAAATTCTGACAATTTTTAGCTGCAAAGTGACAATCTAAGCCCTCCGTAGATATCGAAGATGACAATATTCTGCAAAATGCTTCTGATACAACCTTTATATATATACAGAGTCTATGATTTGGTTGAATTTTATGGACATTGAAAGACCAGGGGGTATCATCCTCATTTAAGCGGTCACAGGTAGGTTTTCACCGTATATTTTGAATATCAAACTGGCAGTTTGGGCCCTCCGTAAATATATAAGACATAAAGTCTACCCAAATTCCTTTTAGTGAGATTTGTATCTACCTATTAACTAAATGTCTGCATAATATTAGAAAGATTGAGAGATCAGGGGGCTCTTATCATTGCCCTGTGCTCTTTGTCCTGAAATGTTGACAATTTTTAGCTGAAAAGTGACAATCTAAGCCCTCCAAAGATATCGAAGATGACAATATTCTGGGAAATCCTTCTGATACAACCTCTATATATACAGAGTCTGTGATTTAGTTGAATTTTATGGACATTGAAAGACCAGAGGGTCTCACCCTCATTTAAACGGTCTCGGGTAAGT